ATGTTATTTTAGATCCAGGAATGTCTGCATTGTTCGTTCTGGACCTTATTTTGAAATTGTCATATTTTTTAATTTTAGTGAAATTGGCCAAATTGCAAATTTCTGACCACATTATTGGGTAGTTGAAATCGGTAAATGGGCAGTTTCTTGTACTCAATCGATAGAAAAAATGGAGTTCTAAAAAAAATAGCTATGAGTTTGGTCGACTGGAACAACGGAATTAGCCGAAAATAGGGCTCAAAGTGGGCGAAATTGCCGATTTGTAAATATCACCAAGGTCGCTAACTTCGCGAGAGCATAATTCCGTCAGTTTTCCATCAAATTTCGTTTTTTTTGGTGTCATTACAATCGGGAAAAGATTCTCTATCATTTCATAAGAAAAAATAATTTTTTTTTTTTTTTTTAAATTTTGCGACACCAGGAGACACCTCAGGATTGGGGGTTGCGACAGTCAAGGGGTTAAATGGAGAGTTAGAGGTATTGGGAAGATGGAGGGAATATTTTGAGGAATTGTTAAATGTTGATGAAGATAGGGAAGCTGTGATTTCGTGTATAGGGCAAGGAGGAATAACATCTTGTAGGAGTGAGGAAGAGCCAGTTGTGAGTGTGGGGGAAGTTCATGAGGCAGTAGGTAAAATGAAAGGGGGTAAGGCAGCCGGGATTGATGGGATAAAGATAGAAATGTTAAAAGCAGGTGGGGATATAGTTTTGGAGTGGTTGGTGCAATTATTTAATAAATGTATGGAAGAGGGTAAGGTACCTAGGGATTGGCAGAGAGCATGCATAGTTTCTTTGTATAAAGGCAAAGGGGACAAAAGAGAGTGCAAAAATTATAGGGGGATAAGTCTGTTGAGTATACCTGGTAAAGTGTATGGTAGAGTTATTATTGAAAGAATTAAGAGTAAGATGGAGAATAGGATAGCAGATGAACAAGGAGGCTTTAGGAAAGGTAGGGGGTGTGTGGACCAGGTGTTTACAGTGAAACATATAAGTGAACAGTATTTAGATAAGGCTAAAGAGGTCTTTGTGGCATTTATGGATTTGGAAAAGGCGTATGACAGGGTGGATAGGGGGGGCAATGTGGCAGATGTTGCAGGTGTATGGTGTAGGAGGTAGGTTACTGAAAGCAGTGAAGAGTTTTTACGAGGATAGTGAGGCTCAAGTTAGATTATGTAGGAAAGAGGGAAATTATTTCCCAGTAAAAGTAGGCCTTAGACAAGGATGTGTGATGTCACCATGGTTGTTTAATATATTTATAGATGGGGTTGTAAGAGAAGTAAATGCGAGGGTATTGGCAAAAGGAGTGGAGTTAAAATATAAAGAATCACACATAAAGTGGGAGTTGTCACAGTTGCTCTTTGCTGATGACACTGTGCTCTTGGGAGATTCTGAAGAGAAGTTGCAGAGATTGGTGGATGAATTTGGTAGGGTGTGCAAAAGAAGAAAATTAAAAGTGAATACAGGAAAGAGTAAGGTTATGAGGATAACAAAAAGATTAGGTGATGAAAGATTGGATATCAGATTGGAGGGAGAGAGTATGGAGGTGAATGTATTCAGATATTTGGGAGTGGACGTGTCAGCGGATGGGTCTATGAAAGATGAGGTGAATCATAGAATTGATGAGGGGAAAAGGGTGAGTGGTGCACTTAGGAGTCTGGGGAGACAAAGAACTTTGTCCTTGGAGGCAAAGAGGGGAATGTATGAGAGTATAGTTTTACCAACGCTCTTATATGGGTGTGAAGCATGGGTGATGAATGTTGCAGCGAGAAGGCTGGAGGCAGTGGAGATGTCATGTCTGAGGGCAATGTGTGGTGTGAATATAATGCAGAGAATTCGTAGTTTGGAAGTTAGGAGGAGGTGCGGGATTACCAAAACTGTTGTCCAGAGGGCTGAGGAAGGGTTGTTGAGGTGGTTCGGACATGTAGAGAGAATGGAGCGAAACCGAATGACTTCAAGAGTGTATCAGTCTGTAGTGGAAGGAAGGCGGGGTAGGGGTCGGCCTAGGAAAGGTTGGAGGGAGGGGGTAAAGGAGGTTTTGTGTGCGAGGGGCTTTGACTTCCAGCAGGCATGCGTGAGCGTGTTTGATAGTGAATGGAGACAAATGGTTTTTAATACTTGACGTGCTGTTGGAGTGTGAGCAAAGTAACATTTATGAAGGGGTTCAGGAAAACCGGCAGGCCGGACTTGAGTCCTGGAGATGGGAAGAACAGTGCCTGCACTCTGAAGGAGGGGTGTTAATGTTGCAGTTTAAAAACTGTAGTGTAAAGCACCCTTCTGGCAAGACAGTGATGGAGTGAATGATGGTGAAAGTTTTTTCTTTTTCGGGCCACCCTGCCTTGGTGGGAATCGGCCAGTGTGATAATAAAAAAAATAAAATAAATAATAAACGTTCTGGAGCGCTTTAAACGTCATACATATTTCGTATAGGTTTGGTAGCTGACATTTAAAGCTCTCCAGAGTGATTGTTATTATGAATTATTATTATTATGTATTATTATTTTTATTATTATTACAGAGAACCCTCTAATTTCGTTAGGCTCTATTTTCATGAATTTCGATTATCGGCAAGTTTTTTCGTGACTTCCCTCTAAATTTGGCGGCCGTCCAGTATGCGTCCCAGTGGTTCCGTACATACAAAGCTTCCCAAAGACGCATTCAAGTCAGTCTGGCATTGTTTCTTGGAGAGTGAGCATCACCCCCCGCATTTACAGAAACATTTCGTAATAATCCATTGTTTTTTGTGCTTCAAACTGCTAAAGAAGCCACCATGGGCCAAAAGAAAACTCCTAGTGCCAGCCCTTTGGTAAAGAAGGTGAGAAACACGATAGAATTAAAGAAACAAATCGTAGCAAAGTACAAAAGTGGAGGAGGAAGAGAGAGAGGGGAGAATGTGCCTTCTTCAGTGATTCTGCGATATGTACAATACTAAAGCAGCATGAGTCGATAAAGGCTACAGCACCAGCCAGCAATAAAATGTAGCATTACCAGTGTAGCAAGTAAGTTAAGCAATTAAGTGATAAAAAAAAGGAGGACACAAAACTTAACTCCTCCAATGTTATTGGAGGTATATAGGGCCACTGACAATACCGTCACTGCCACCACCACCACTATAAGGCTTATGCTGCCAGTGGCCCTGATAGCCCAACAACAACAAAGAACCACCACCAGTCATATGTAATGACATATTTTATTCATTCTAGAGTATATATCATGTTTCTATGTTATTAATATTGTTTATTATGTCATATTAGATGAATTGTGACAGATAAATAAGCTGAAGAGTTGATATTAGTGTCATATTGAAGCATACTGTCCTGTCTCCAAACAATAAACTCACCTCCCTCTCCCCTCTTCCTCGTCTGCCATTTATGTTATTTCTTATGGGAAAAATAGTTTCGATTTTCACGAATTTCAACTTTCGGCAGACTCTCTGGAACGGATTAATCACAAAATTAGAGGGTCCACTGTATTATTATTATTATTACCATCGACATACCTTGTTCACTGAGTTTAACCATTTCTTAAGATGCCACGAGAGATGCAGAAAATGTAAACACACAGACGAACACATCAGCTAACCCCTTTACAGTGAACTTCTTTTGTACTTCTTCATTTTCCTCTTTTTTTCCTCTTACAAGTGCTGCTGCACTTCTAAACTCTATCTTGTACTATGGGGTGCACAATAAAATACAAATTTGTACACATATGTAGTCTTGGAGACTGTAAAAGCTAGTGTACTGAGTGGCTGTAGAAAGGAGATTGAGATGCTCGACACTGAGACACCGCGCTGTCAATTCTATGACCCAAGCTTTCGTATGGCATACAATACTGACTCGTTTGAGAGCCCATCGTAACTCTGAGTTGTCAGTAAATGAGTACATCGGTAAGTGAGGAGAGGCTGTACTCTATCAGCCCAATCTTCGAAAAAGGAAGATGTGCAGTTTAACCTCCTATATCCACAAACTTCAAAGGAAAATTTCAGTGATACAACTGTGAATAAACTCTCGGTGTACAATCTAATCAACACACAAATTTATGCACAGCAAATCTTGCTTGCATTTTATGAAATAGTTAATAACTACAATCTCAATGCTCTACATACTTTTCAAAAGCATTTGACACTGAGATTAAATAAAACAAGAACATAAAATCAAGGCTCATGGAACCAATAATAAAACACTACACTCTATATAAAAAAAAAGGCTGAAACAAGAAAAAAGATCATCATAAACTGACTCTTCAAGGAGTATGTAAATGCTGAAGAGCTTCTTATCCAATTAAATGAAGCTGCCATCCCCTACCTCAAATATGATTACCTCTCATTCCCAGGTACTGTATGAGTCCTATGGGTTTAGTTTTTTTTTTTTTTTTTCAACAAGTCGGCCGTCTCCCACCGAGGCAGGGTGACCCAAAAAAGAAAGAAAATCCCCAAAAAGAAAATACTTTCATCATCATTCAACACTTTCACCACACTTGCACATTATCACTGTTTTTGCAGAGATGATCAGAATACAACAGTTTAGAAGCATACACATATAAAGATACACAACATATCCCTCCAAACTGCCAATATCCCAAACCCCTCCTTTAAAGTGCAGGCATTGTACTTCCCATTTCCAGGACTCAAGTCCGACTATATGAAAATAACCGGTTTCCCTGAATCCCTTCACTAAATATTACCCTGCTCACACTCCAACAGATCGTCAGGTCCCAAGTACCATTCGTCTCCATTCACTCCTATCTAACACGCTCACGCATGCTTGCTGGAAGTCCAAGCCCCTTGCCCACAAAACCTCCTTTACCCCCTCTCTCCAACCCTTTCGAGGACGACCCCTATAAATATGTTAACAATAATACAAATAAAACAGAATCTGAAAAGGTTCAAACCCATTTTAGTGGCAGTGAATGCTCTACCCCTGAACACCCATACAACAAGACTTGGCAGTACAGCATAGTGAGATAAGACTACTCTTAAAAAATAGTTCACATTAAAAACTTACCATAACAGGAATGATGTGAGTTATTTGGCCGGTGAGTTCAAAGACAATGACTGATGTGGATATTGTGTGAGTGACAGCGCCGGCCATGGCTGCCGCACCAGCAATTGAGTAACCACCTTTCGTAAATGTTACATAGTTGGTTAAAATCAGAACTTAGGGTAAATAATAAAAGTAGTGGTATATGAATATATATAAATTATATATATATATATATATATATTTTTAACATGTCGCCCATTTCCCAATGAGGCAGGGTGACCCAAAAAGAAAGAAAATTCCAAAAAGAAAGAAAAAACTTTCATCATTCAACACTTTCACCATCACTCATATATAATCATTGTCTTTGCAGAGGTGCTCATATATGACAGTTTAAATATCACTCCAAACAGCCAATATCTCAAACCCCTCCTTCAAAGCACAGGCATTGTACTTCCCACCTCCAGGACTCAAGTCCGGCTAACCGGTTTCTCTGAATTCCTTCACAAAATGTTACCCTGCTCACACTCCTACAGCTTGCCAGGTCCCAAAAAACATTCATCTCCATTCATTCCTATCTAACATGCTCACACATGCCTGTAGTAGTAGGTTGGTAGATAGCAACCACCTAGGGAGGTTCTACTGTTCTGTCAAATGAGTGTAAGATGGTAACCTGTATTTGTTTTGCATGATGGTAGGAGTGTTAGTGTCTTTTCTCTGTCTCATAAACACACAAGATAACAGGTATATCTTACTACCTTTACTTACAATTAGGTCACACTACACATGCATGTGCACATTTATGTATACACACTCATCTGAGCATTCTTTGTTTTTTCTTAAATAGCTCGTTCTTATTATTTTCCTTTCATATCCATGAGGAAGTGGAATAAGAATCTTTCCTCTGTAAACAATGCATGTTGTAAAAGTCAACTAAAATGCATGGCGCAATGGGCTAGTAACCCCTTTTTCCATACAGCTTAATAAAAATAAAAAGAAGAAATATTATCTTTATTTTTACAAGTACATGTACAAGATATACAAGCCTAGCTGACATCAATGACATACTACTACAGTGGACCCCCGGTTAACGATATTTTTTCACTCCAGAAGTATGTTCAGGTGCCAGTACTGACCGAATTTGTTCCCATAAGAAATATTGTGAAGTAGATTAGTCCATTTCAGACCCCCAAACATACACATACAAATGCACTTACATAAATACACTTACATAATTGGTCACATTCGGAGGTAATCGTTATGCGGGGGTCCACTGTATATAGAAAGCCCCTTGTTATGCAGAGCATTTCCAGCAAATTAGGTCAATTTTGTCCTAGGATGTGACCCACGCTAGCCGACTAACATCCAGTTACCCATTTTACTGATAAGTGAACAATGGACAGCAGGTGTCTTATGGAAACACGTCCTAATGTTTTCCAGCCATACCAGGGGATCGACCCCTGGAACTCAGTACGTATGTGAGCCGAGTGTGCTAGCAATCAAGCTACAGAAAGTGTTTCTATTTTTGGGTCACCCTGACTCTGTGGGAGACAGTCAGCATGTTAAATAACAAGAACAAAATATATAAATTAAAATAGCATATTTATAAAAAAATACAGATTTATATTGAAGAAAGGACTAATATGACACAGAGTTAACTGAAAGACTGAGACTGCTAGAACTATGATAACCGTTGATATAACTTTAAGGATAACCTATGGGTAAGTTTTCCCTGAACAAGGTATTATTGAACATATGCGTGCATTCTTTAATGTGTGAAATTTTTAGTCTATGTTTATTCTTGAATCAATATGTATTCTTGAATCTGTGTGTTCTTGAATCTATGCAATGGCAGCTTGTCCAAAGGAGCTGCAGAGCTGTAGCCATCCCCCCAGATGCTCACTGCCAGACGTATGACTTCGTCAACCTTATGCTAAAATAATTTGCAACCGACAAATATATTGCAGGAAAAAATCTGTTGTATGTTGTTTTCAATGTATTTATAAGCGATTTTTTTTTTTGAAACGAGATAAAAATGATTAAAAACAGAAGTCTGATGCAGTACGATACTATAGGTATTACCGGCGCTACGAGCTGCCACTGAATCTATGTATGTATTGTCAAATACGTATGTGCATACTCTTGAATGTATGTCGATAATATGAAAACTGACCTGGTATAATAATGTGATTGTGACCACCATAGTTCAAGCCATTAGGGAAGATGTAGGCCATTGTCTCGCCAACTATTCGGCCCACAGCTGCCCCAATCTTAAACACTGGGATGAAAATACCTGATGGCACGGAAGAGTGCTGGAAACCACATTGCCAAACAACTGAGAACATACAAAGAAAAACCAACAATAGTCACAAATCTCAAAGAGAATCTTTAAATACCCTTTACTCTAACAAAATAGTACTGTACTTATTACAAAACCTAAATATTAACTCTTTTAATTGCATCTCATGGTAATTTATGCAGGTGACTCAACAACGTCCCACATAAATTAATGCATAATTTTTGTACCTACAAATTTAATTACCACAGATATTTAATGCCTCAGCTTATCTGTTTAGGTGTAAGCTCTCATAATTAGCATAAATCAATAGAAAAATATAACGTTATGCTCATTAATGCTGATATTGCTGAGCGATCATTTTTGGCTAACCAATAAATACACCATAAATCCACAGGTTTTCATATAATTTAATTTTTGTTTTCAAAGTTCTGTTTAGAAAATATGCTTTCAAATGTCAAAAAAAAAATCTTGCCAATACTGGGGATATAAAATGCTGAGGACTGCCATAGTGAAAGGGTTAACTGACAATAATTTAGGCACTATAAACAGTTAGTTTGTTGAAAAAAAAAACACCCAACTATCTCAAAGATTCAATTCTGTAGGTTATTGTTCCTTTCCTTGAAGCTGGATCCAAGGAATTAGAGCTATCCTTTTCTTGGGTCAAACCTGTTTAACTCTCATTTCCTCAGTGCAATATGGCCCTTAAGGGTTTTGCACTACTCCATGAATATACAATAATAATAATAATAATAATAATAATAATAATAAATAAATAAATAAATAGTAATAATAATATACATGACTCACTGTAAATGTTACATATAAGAGAAGGCTGACAAAGATTCCCGTCCATGGTGTTCTCCAATTCTCCACAACTTGAAACTCATGAACAGTGTGATCCTTCTTGGTCCAAGTGATGTTACTGAACAACTCCACAACCTAGGGTGACCCAAAGAGAGAACACAAAGTTAAATGTTTCAAGATAAGTGTCTGCTGGAAAATTACTGTGCATATAACAAAAAAAATTACTTCCAAAAAGTACACAGCTGTTACCATAAAAAACTGAGTGACATTTATTTTATAAATTTTGCAAAGCCCTTGGTTATACAAATTATTTCTGACATTTAAACTCAAAACTTCTTAACACTGCATAAAGTATGATTATTTCAATGCTAAGTTTAATAAAATTAATTTATCTCAAGATGAGGTAATGAAATGTAATGATTATTTAAAAAAAAAAATGTATATTAAAACAGCAATGTAATCTTGACTGTAATCTTAAATTTCAGACCCACATCCAGCATATAACTAAGAAAGTTTCCAAAACAGTAGGCATCCTTTCCAAGAAACGATACTATGTACCCCAACGAGCCCTCCTTACCTTACATCACTCTCTAATATACCCTTACCTCACCTATGGTATTTGTGCTTGGGGATCTACCACGGCCAATCATGTCAAACCTTTAATAACCTAACGCCTAAAGCCAATAATAACCCAACAAAAAGCCGCAGTAAGAATAATCACTAAATCCCATCCCTGGCAACCCCCCCCCCCCACATTTCATAGATCTAAACTTACTCCCTGTTCAGTACATCCACACTTACTACTGTGCAATCTACATCTACAGGACCTTAAATTCCAATATTAACCTTGACCTAAAATGCTTTCTTGATAGTTGTGACAGAACCCACAGGCACAATACCAGACACAAACATCTCTATGACATTCCCCGTGTCCGACTAAACCTTCACAAAAATTCAATGTATGTCAAAGGCCCTAAAATCTGGAACACCCTACCTGAAAATTCTAAAACTGCAGACACATTCATCACCTTCAAAACTACCATCAGAACACATCTTATCTCCCTGATACACCCTGTCAACTAATTACACGAATACCACCTGGTGGTTCACACTTACACTCACTCACCCATTTGACCATAAACAGAAATATCAATCTCAATCTCAAAATAATGAATCTTAACTAGTCATAAGTTGGCCTGTGATACTCCAATACTGAAACTATGTATAGTGCCAAAACAAAAGCATTCACATTGCTAAACTCACAAACTAGTATTTAGTCACTTAGCCATAATACCAACTTACCTCATAATTTGGTAATATTTTAAACTTAAGATTTAATCTAAGTCTGCCCGAAATGCCTAGCCATGCTAGGTGTTCTAGTGATACAGTCTGTAATTATTTTACTACATGTAAACCACACAATAACCAAATTCTGTAAACTCAGCATTGTAATCCTTATAGAGAATAAACTTTGAATTGAAAAAACAAAAAGCAGCAGTGCAGATGATCACAAAGTCCAGCGCCAGACAACACACACCACCTCTCTTCAAAAACATGAGCTTACTTAATATACACACTTATTATTGTGCCTACTACATATACAGAACATTAAACTCCAATATCAACCCTCTCCTCAAACTTCTCCTAGACAGCCTCAACAGAACACACAGGCATAATACAAGGCACAAAACACTCTTTGACATCTCTCATGTCCATCTCACAAGTTGGTTCTGTCACACTGGTTTAAAAAGCAATCTTGAACTGTATCAAGAAAGTCACTAGACTCAAGATTTCCTGTCACATTGTTCCAATCAATTTGTCTAAAGTTAAAATCTCCTCTTATTACAACATTTTCATATCTAGATGCCTTATGAATTTTGTCCCATAACAGCTTACTGCACTCCCTATCGAGGTTTGGGGGCCTATAAATCACACCCATAATTAATTTGTTACGATCCTCGAGAAACTGTAGCCAAACAGATTCTGTGTCCGATGTTTCTAATCTTATACAGTGGACCCCCGCCTTACGAACGCATCGCGTTACGTTAAATCCGCCATACGAAGCGTTTGAACGCAAAAATTTTGCGCCTCACGATAAAAAACTCGCCTTACGTGATTCGTCTGGGACGCATCCCATGTGTGGCCAGCCAGTGCAGTTGCATCCACGCATACATTCAGTACATTTCACCTTATCCCAGTGTTTTTTGTGCTTGTAACTGCAAAATAAGTCACCATGGGCCCCAAGAAAGCTTCTAGTGCCAACCCTGTGGTAAAAAGGGTGAGAATTAGTATGGAAATTAAGAAAGATTTTGAAGGGTTTGGGGCTAACCCTGACAAGCCTATGCCAGTTGTGGAATCCATTGTGCCTACTTCAAAGATTAAGGAAATGTATGCATAGTGGGTTGAAATGCAAACCTTTATGGATGAAAATCACCCTAACACAGCTATTGCAAGCCGTGCTGGTGACTATTACAATGACAATGTTGTGGCCCATTTTAGGCAAATCTTAAAGAAACGGGAGGTACAGACCTCTATGGGCAGATTTGTTGTGTGACAGAGGTCCAGTGACTCTCAAGCTGGTCCTAGTGCATTAAAAGAAGAAGGGAAGTAATCCCGGAAAAGGACTTGCTACCTCAAGTCCTAATGGAAGGGGAGTCCCTTTTTAAACAATAACTTCCACACTCTCCCCTCCTCCCAACCCATCAATCATCACCAGATCTTCAATAAAGGTAAGTGTCATGTATTCTATTCTTAGTAGAGTAGTAATTGTGCATGTCTTCTTCAGTTTATGTGTATTAAAATTAATATTTCATGTGGTAAAAAATTTTTTTTTTTCATACTTTAGGGTGTCTTGCACGGATTAATTTGATTTTCATTATTTCTTATGGGGAAAATTAATTCGCCTTACGATAATTTCTGCTTATGATGAGCTCTCAGGAATGGATTAATATCGTAAGGCGGGGGTCCACTGTATCATGTCTAAGACAACAATTTAAATTTTCTCTGACATACATCGCCACTCCACCACTCTTCCTGTTGACCTATCAGTGTGGAATAGTTTATAAGCGTGTATGTTGCATTCAGAAGGCATTTCTCTATGTATTTCATTAGTCATTTATATTTATTTCTCATTGTTTTCTGTATGTAAAACTATAGTTATTCTCTATAAAATGTATTTTTTGTTAATATTTTTCGGTGTCTGGAATGGATTAATTGGATTTACATTATTTTTTATGGGAAATATTGCTTCAGTTTTCACACAATTTGGTTTTTGTCAGACTTTCTGGAACAAATTAATCACACAAACTGAGGCTTCACTGCACTTCCCACTTCCAGAACTCTAAAGTTTGGCTAACTGGCTTCCTCTAATTTTTTTTTTTTTCAACAAGTCGGCCGTCTCCCACCGAGGCAGGGTGACCCAAAAAAGAAAGAAAATCCCCAAAAAGAAAATACTTTCATCATCATTCAACACTTTCAACACACTCACACATTATCACTGTTTTTGCAGAGGTGCTCAGAATGCAACAGTTTAGAAGCATACACATATAAAGATACACAACATATCCCTCCAAACTGCCAAACACCCTTAAGCCAGCCTTTCCTTGCACTGCCATTCATGTTCTCTTATTAATACATTATAGCCAATACATCATCAGATAAAAAGTTTAGTGTCATGTTTCATATACAATATGAAGAAATGATGCAAAAATTTAGATTTTTTATTTAAAGTATTATTGAGAAACAAAATGCGGGAAAAAAGTATTCACATGAGAAAAAATATGACTAGGGTACCCATATTAGAGGTGGTTTGGTCATTTAGAGAGAATGGATCAAAGTAGAATGACATGGAGAGCATTTAAATCTGTAGGAGAAGGAAGGCGGGGTAGGGGTCGTCCTCAAAAAGGTTGGAAGGAAGGGGTAAGGGAGGTTTTGTGGGCGAGGGGCTTGGACTTCCAGCAGGCATGCATGAGCGTGTTTGATAGAAGTGAATGGAGACGAATGGTATTTGGGACCTGACGATCTGTTGGAGTGTGAGCAGGGTAATATTTAGTGAAGGGATTCAGGAAAACCGGTTATTTTTATATAGCTGGACTTGAGTCCTGGAAATGGGAAGTACAATGGCTGCACTCTAAAGGAGGGGTTTGGGATATTGGCAGTTTGGAGGGATATGTTGTGTATCTTTATGCGTATATGCTTCTAAACTGTTGTGTTCTGAGCACCTCTGCAAAAACAGTGATTATGTGTGAGTGAGGTGAAAATGTTGAATGATGATGAAAGTATTTTCTTTTTGGGGATTTTCTTTCTTTTTTGGGCCACCCTGCCTCGGTGGGAGACGGCCGACTTGTTGAGAAAAAAAAAAAAACATATTACATTTAATTTGCTATTTTATACATCTCTTCTACATTTATTTATGTTTCAAAAATGGTCCTTAATATAGGTCCACATCCCTTTATACGAAACCCTTGCAGCCAGTAGTGTTTCGAATTTCACAATTTTTTGAATTTCATAATGAAGGTGGGGTCTAGGGCAGCACCTCATAATCAAACATTAAAACTCCAGCAAAAGCATATGAATACTCACACTAAGTGGGATAAATAAAGACTACAAATACTACTATGGTTTTATTTATATAGTAATATATTGATAAATGAAATAGTGGGATAATTACAGACCAGGAACATGATTCTCAAGATGATTCTCAAGACGACTGACTGATGGCATTTTTAAAGACTTCTTCAAGTGTCATCTGTCTTATTAACATAGGTTTCTGTCTAAGCAATCTCTCTTTAATTGAGTAAATTGCCACAATCTCTTGCTCACTGATAAATGCACATTGTTCAAGGCCAGCAATTAACTGATCACACATTTTCACCATATCATCTATGGGGACTTTTTCACCTGTGTTCACAATGTCATCACCATCATCACTACTTTTCTTATGCTTATCTGTATTTAACACCAATTCAGCAATATCACCATCACTCAAGGAATGCACAACAGGTATATTATTGTTAATGTTGAGCATTTCTTCGATGTCAGCTTCCTGTAACTTATTTACACTTTCGTCCAATAAATTTTTAGCGTAAGTTACGAGGTTTGATATCATCATCTTCTCATCAGTGACAAGAAATCCTTCAGTCTTCATCTGTAGGTTCATTTACATCAAACATCGTTTTAGACAAAAGTCTGTGCCAAGCATTTGTTAATGTTGATTTATCAACATTCTTCCAAGCATTAGCAACTGAATAAATGGCATCCTTAACATTGAACTCTTTCAGGAAGTCTTGGATTCCTACTCCTCTGTTGACTGCAGAAAGCATACAGTTTAAAAAATTGTCTTTATACTTGCTCTTCATGGAGCATAAAATTCCTTCTTCACAAGGCTGTAATACAGATGTCACATTAGGGGGCATGTAGATGCCAAAAACATTACTTTTCACAAGAAGTTCAGCAGGGGGATGTGCGGAGCAGTTATCCAGAGCAATAAAATTTTACAGTTTTCTTCTAGTCCAGCTTGCCTGCAATGAGCTCATGCAGCTGGTACGAAGTGGTTAGTGAACCAGTCGAAAAACATTTCTCGGGTTACCCATGCTTTACTGATAATGTCAGATGCTTTCTTTTCTTTTTCTCACTGTTACCATAGGGGTATCTGTAGCTCTTCTTGACATTTTCACAGTGAAATTAAACACAGTCACAATATAAAAAGCAAAAACAAAATATCAGCGAACAGCAGACGCATATGTGAACACTACAAGTACTGCGACACAACTGACGCCTACCATTGTGGCTGTCAGTACTGGGTCACGCTGCCATGTGGCAGCGTTGGAATTACGTAGAAATGACTGACACTCCATACTCCACGAAAAAACTTCGGTTTTCAGAAATTTTCGAATTTCAGAATTTCGGATAAAGGGATGTAGACCTGCATTGTCAAAAACTGCACATGCAAACTTAAAAATAATACTGATTATGAACCACATAAAAAATACTGTAAAAATAAATATGCAGATAGCAAATGATATGAAAGATAACACTGACTTCCAATTCAATGAATTTATTCAAAATTTGGAGACTGGTATACCTGGAGTATACCTGGAGAGGGTTTCTGGGGTCAATGCCCCCACAGCCTGGTGTGTGACCAGGCTTCATGGTGGATCAGGGCCTGATCAACCAGGTTGTTACTGTTGGCCACGCAACCTGACGTATGAACCACAGCCCAGCTGGTCAGGTACTGACTTGAGGTGCCTGTCCAGTGCCTTCATAATTATTAATAATGAAAATAATAATAATAATTCAGTGACCAGTCAGTTAGACTTGAGTCCCGGAGGTGGGAAGAACAGTGCCTGTGCTCTGAAGGAGGGGTTTGGGATATCTGCTGTTTAGAGTGACATCTAAACTGCCATATCTGGGAGCCTCTGGCAAGACAATGATACTGTGAATGATGGTGAAAGTGTTTCTTTTTGGGTCACCCTGCCTCTAGGAGATGGCCAGCATACTGAAAAAAAAAATATTACGTTATTCTTTGCTGATGATACACTTCTTTTGATAGATTCTGAAGAGATATTACAAAGGCTCTTGGAGGAATTTGGGAGAGTTGCAGTGGCCAGGTTGTAGGATCCACGGCTGAAATTCTTCTCATCGAGAGGTAGAGTCTCACAGTTTGTTGTCATTATTTTTGTTTTCGGGATTTTTTCTTTCTTTTTGGGTCACCCTGCCTAGGTAGGAGATGGCCGACTTGTTGAGAAAAAAAAAAGAAATGCAAAAGATATGTAGGACATACAGTAGGCTGGTAGATAGTAACAGCCCAGGGAGGTACTACTGTCCTGCCAAGTGAGAGTAAAACAGAAGCCTGTGTAATTGTTTTACATGATGGTGGGATTACTGGTGTCTTTTTTCTGTTTCAAAAACATGGGTGTCTTTTTTCTGTTTCAAAAACATGCAAGATTTTGGGTACAGACTGCTACTTCTACTTACACTTAAGTCACACTACATATGCATGTACAAACATATAAATGCACATCTCCATGGGGAAGTCAAACAGAATTTTTCTTCTGTAAGCTATGCATGTCATAAGAGGTGAGTAACATGCCAGGAGCAAGGGGCTAGTAACCTCTTCTCCTGTATACATTACGTACCAAAGTTAATAAGAGAAACTTTCATTTTTCTTTTAGGGCCACCCTGCTTCGGTGGGATATGGCCTGTTTGTTGAAAGAAGAAGAATGTAAAAGAATGAAATTAAAAGTGAACACAGAAAAGAGTAAGATGGTGAGGGAAGAAAAATGTCTATGCAATCAATGGTAGATGAATATCAGGTTGGTGGAAGGGAGTATGGAGGAAACTGATGTATTGAGAATAGACATTTGTGAGTGGACATGTCAGCAGATGGGCCTATGAAAGACAAGGTGAAGCAAAGAAGAGATGAAAAGAAAAAGGTAGGTGATGTGTTGAGACATCTGTAGAAAAAATAAGAAGTTCATTGGAGGATGCAAAAAAAGTAGAGTACCAGAGTATATTGGTACCAACACTTTTACATGGGTGTAAGACATTGGCTTTGAATGCTGCAGTGAGACTTAGGCTAGTAGGCTAGAGGCAGTGAAGATGTCATGTTTAAGAGTAATGCATGATGTGAATATTATGTAGAGGATTCAGACTGTAGAAACTGAAAGATGGAGCAGGGTCATCAAGAGTACAATTCAGAGTGATGAGGAAGGGTTGCTGAGGTGGATTGGGCATTTAGAGAGGATGGAGAGGCATGGGATGACAAAGATGGTGTATAAATCTACAGTATAGCCATTGGATGAAAGATGGTAAATGTGTTTCCTTTGTTGGGCCACCCTACTTTGGTGAGAAATGGGAGCTGAGATAAAAAAAATAATGAAAATTTTTAATCTCATAAAAGTTTCACAAGTGATACAGATTTACAAGAAGCCCATAACATGCATAGAATGCAGAATCCTTCTCTAGGATTTTGAAAAGAATATGTAACCAACCGGACTTGAGTCCTTGAGATGGGAAGTACAATGCCTGCACTTTAAAGGAGGGGTTTGGGATATTGAGAGTTTGGAGGGACTTCTAAACTGTCGTATCTGAGTGCCTCTGCCAAGACAGTGATTATGTATGAGTGAGGTGAAAGTGTTGAATGATGATGAAAGTATATTCTTTTTGGGGATTTTCTTTTTTTTGGGTCACCCTGCCTCGGTAGAAGACAGCCGACTTGTTGGAAAAAAAAAAACACTATGATGTTGTGAAGAATGAACAATAGATTAAAGTGAATTACAAAGTGAAAAGAAAGATGATTTATTATACCAATGATTAGCATTCATAAAACTTAAATTTATTTAAAATCCACACAATATGATAAGCATAAAACATTCTGTCCAAATGTCTGATCAAAGAAAACACACTGTGACTGTCAGTAACAAAAAGGACTGCCCACTATTGTCACTATAGTTTATAAATAAAAAATGATAAGACTGTATAATTATCTTAATAAAAAAATGAATAATGCACTCTTACAAAGTACTACACTTTCTACCTAAAACTTGAGTTCCACTATTAAATCTGCAATAAAATCAATTTCTATATTATGAGCTATGTTGTAAATCATCTGACAGCTGATGGTAGATCCAACTTTCATTAGTCCATGTTCTGAATGACCCACACAGGTTAACAGCTACAATGAATAATAATTCTAATAATATGATATTGGTCATAATTCCTGAATCATGCAACCTTTAGTTTCAACATCTAGCAGTAATAGGAAGCATTTCCTATAAAGCTTTACTTGGTGGTTGTTTAGAAGAGCATCAACAAAGTGGGTCAAAACTAACCAGAATACTGAGTGATACGATGGTTAATGTTAAGATTAGAAAAAGTAGCAGTTGGCTAGCTAGAGGTAAGAGTCTAATATGGGGCCTAACACTGAAGCAGAATGGGCAGAGCAAGGAGAGAGAAAAAAAAAAGTTGATGTAATGAATACCTACCTGGCTGTGTGTTGATTGATGGGAAGATATGAACTGCCCCAGAAGAGGAGGAAACTGGATAGTGAGCACGATGAGTGTCACCAAGACAGGATACGCAAATCGGCTGATAGATAAAAATAGATGCCTGAATTCACCTCTCAAGGTGTGCTTCAGGAAGGATAGCATGGAGGGGAAAAAAGAACTGGCTTGAATGCAAAGATGATGGGTGTGGAAGAACAAATCTGTCTCAGGATAAGTAATATGGAAGAGTGAAGCACAGCAGATAATATGTACTTTATTATGATGAATGATATGAAAACTTGAAGGAATTAGGGAGTTTAATATGCTATATGTACAGTACAAGGTAAAAACTGTATATAAAAGCCTTGTATACTAAAACTATTAGGTAAGCAAAACAAAAGAATCTGTAGGTAAGCTTCATACCAATAGTGCGATGTTAAAACGAGGTGAAGATAGCATCGCTGTTCATGATATGAGAAATTGGCACAGTATTAATTTGAAGAAAATATGTTAATGCACTGTATTAGGTAATGGTTAGTGTAAAGATAGTAGCAGATGCTGAAAAATTGAGTAAGTCTTACAATAAATAAATAAATTTAGTTGTGCCTTTTCTGTATGCAAAACTATTTTTATTATCTATAAAATGTATTTTTTGTTAATATTTTTGGGTGTCTGGAATGGTTTAATTGGATTTACAATATTTCCCTAGGGAAAAATTTAACAAAAAAAAAACATTTTATAGAAATAAAAATAGTTTTGAAAAACAGAAAAAGGCAGCCCTAAATTCGGGGTCCTTTTGTTGTGTGTGGTGGTGTGTGTGTATATATATATATTATAAAAATTTATATATAATATATTTTTTATATATATTATATAAAAATTTAATATAATAATAATTATATATATATTTTTATATATTTTATATATATATATATATATATTTTTTATATATTATTAATTTATATATATATTATTATTATATATATATTTTTATATATTATAGATAGATAGATAGTAGTAGTGACTCTAAACTTTTTTAATTTGACTCCCCCGTAACTTCAGCAAAACTGGGAACCTCAGACTCTTTAAATTAAGTAATGAGAAAAAAAATCACCTGGTATTCGACAGAGTCCAAAAATCAGAAAAATATTTGAAAGCTTTTTTCCCACAAAATAGAAAAAAAAACATTAAAAGGGCTCAAAAAACTCAATGTTACCAAATAAATATTTTAAAAGACCCAAATATAAAGTTGTTGATAAGTTGTTGCACTTACTCCACACAAAAGACTCCCCTGTCGGTGGTTGCTGAGATTCCCCCCCCAAAAAGTCCAAGCCCAAGGGGAAAGGCGGGGACGAGTAAATTATGGTGCGAAGAGAGGATAACAGGCGACTGTCGGGGATAAAAAAAAGGGAAAGGGGGACTTGAAAGGGCATACTGCGGGGATTCAAATTCTGAAGGGGGTTAAAAGTGTAGTCCTTAGGACATTAATTTTATTTTAAAAGAAAAAAGCGTAAAAGAGTTAATTAATAACAGAACCCATCTTCAATACTCCATCGCAATAATTTTTTCTAATTTTTTTATTAAATGTTTTAAAAATTTTTCTACTATAGCACTGACTAAAATATACATTATTAAAAAATTTATTGTAAAAGATGACTGTACAAAATAAATCTTTTTATTTTTAAATCCCAGCTGTTTCCCCCCCCAAGGCAGGGGCCCTAAGAAATCAAATTTTATTACTTAACCCCTTCAAAGAGGCCTTTATGCTGGTGAAGTGTTTACCCCCCCCTACCTTGAATAAAACCTTACTTTCTTATTCCCCAAGCAACGTATGACCCTTACGGGTTTTTGGTTTCCCCCAAAATTTATAATAAAAATATGCGGGAAAAGTGTATGGGGGGTTATTTTTAAGGAAAAGGGGAAAAGACAAAATGTAGAATTTGGGATGAGCAAGGGGGGTTTTGGTGGGTGGGGATGTGTGGTCAAGTGTTTAGGTTTCATGAAGCTATACGGGGAAACCCCTCAAAATAAATTTTTTTTTGGTGAAGGCTTTCGAGTGATTTTCCCCAAAATAAATTTTTTCCCCATCGGGAAATAATTAATTGATAGTCCATTTAAACCCCTCAAAAAATACCTTAAAAAAGCATTACAAAAATACACTTACTAATTGTTGGGTTTTGGGGGAGCATTGTTTTTTGGGTTTCCACTGTATGTAACGTTTTTAGATAAAGGTAGGGAAGTTTTTATTGCATTTAGGTTTTAGAAAAGGCTTTGATAAATGGATAGAGGGACAATGGGGCAGATGTTGCAAGTTTTGGGAAAAAGGTGGTAAGTTACAAATTTTGCGTAAAGAGTTTTTATGGGATGTGAGGATCGGGTTTAGGGTGTGTAGAAGAGAGGGACACTACTTCCGGAAAAGTAGGTTTTAGCGGGGAGTGAATGCCCCCATGGTTAATATATTTTATAGATGGGTTGAAAAAGAAGAAAATCTGGGTGTTCGGGGGGGGGGGAAATTTAAATTTATGGGGAAATACAAAAGGGGAAATGACCATTTATTTTTTGTGATTTACTGTGCTTATGGGGTTTCTAAAAAAAAATTGCAAGGTTAGGGGGGAATTTTTGGGAGTGTGATAAAGGTAGAAAGTTAAAAGTGAACTGAAAAGAGAAGGTGAGAGGGTATCAAAGGATTTAGATAAAAAAAATTTTGGATATCAATTGGGGGGGGAATATGAAGAAGTGAATGTTTTAGATTTTGGGAGTTGACTTTCAGGATGGATTTTGAATAGGGGTTTAATAAAAATTTTGATAAAGGAAAAAAAGGTGGTGTGCATTGAGGTATATTGGAGGAAAAAAATGTTTTTTGGGGCAAAAAAGGGGAAATGTATGAAGTATAGTAGTCCCAACCTCTTATAGGGTGTAAACTTGGGTTTGTAAATGCGCAGAAGGGAGGGGTTGGAGGCATGGAGATGCCTTTTAAAGGGATGTGTGGTGTAAATATTATGCAAAAAATTTCGGAGTGTGGAAATTAGGAAAAGGTTGGAGTTAATAAAAGTTTTAAATCAGGGGTTTTTGAAGGGGTTTGTTGAGGGGGTTTTGGGTCATTTAGAGAGAATGGACAAATAGAATGACTTGGAGGAGTAAAAAAACTGTGGGGGAAGGAGGCGGGGTAGGGGTCGCCCCCCAAAAAAAAGGTTGGAGGGGGGGTAAAGGGGGGTTTTTTGGGGGCAAGGGGTTTTTGGATTTCCCCAGCAAGCTGCATGAGATTTTAGATAAATAAAGGGAGACAAAGGGTATTTGGGCCCTGCAGCTGTTGGAGTGTGAGCGGGGTAATATTTGTGAAGGGATTCGGGGGGAAACGGGTTTTTTTAAAACCCCGGTTGAGTCGGGAAATGGGAAGAAAATGCGAATTTTGGGGAGGGTTTGGGTATTGGCATTTGGAGGGATATTTGTTTTTTTATACTTAATTTAAATGTTGTGTTTTGGCACCCTGAAAAAACAGTGATTATGTTGAGTGAGGTAAAAGGTTGAATGACGTTTAAAAAGTATTTTTTTTTGGGATTTTCTTTCTTTTTGGGTCCCCCCCTCGGTGGGGACGGCCGACTTTTAAAAAAAAAAAAAAAAAATTCTAAACTCCTAGGTAGTGGGTTTGGGTAGACAGCAACCGCCCAGGGATGTACTACCCGCCCTCCCAAGTGGTGAAAACAAAACCTGTAATTTTTTTACATGATGGAGGATTACCTGGAGTTTACCTAGAGGATTTCGGGGGTCTTTGCCCCCGCGGCCCGGTCTGTGACCAGCCCTCCTGGGGGATCAAGGCCTGATCAACCAGGTTTGCGCTGGTGCATGAAAACCCAACGTCAAACCACAGCCCTGGTCGGGAAACCCGACTTTAGGTGCTTGCCCAGTCCCAGCTTGAAGACTGCCAGGGGTCTGTTGGTATCCCCTTTGTATGCGGGGAGGCAGTTGAACATTCAGGCCCTGACACTTATTTTTTGGTCTCTTAAGTGCTAGTGACCCCCTGCTTTTCATTGGGGGGTGTTGCATCGTCTGCCCAAATCTTTTTCTTTTGTAGTGAGTGATTTTCGTGTGCAATTCGGACTGTCCCCCTAGGATTTTCCAGGGGTTATATAATCATGTATCTCTCCCGCCTGCATTCCAGGGAAAATTTTAGGAACCTCAAGCCTCCCCGTAATTGAGGTGTTTTATCTCCCTTATGCTGCCCTGAAGATTTTCTGTACATTTTTTAGGTGCAATTTCACATGCTTTAAAGGTGCTGTTAGTGTGCCGCAATATTAGCTGGTGCCTTTTTTCTTTTTCATGCAGCAAAATTTCAGGTACGTCTTGTCTTCTACTTACACTAGGTACCTAACAACATTTTTTTTTTTTTTTTTCCAACAAATCGGGCCCTCTCCCCCGAGGCAGGTACCCCAAAAAAAAAAAAAAAAAACCCAAAAAGAAAATACTTTCATCATCATTCAACACTTTCACTCACTCGCACATTATCATGTTTTTTCAGGGGTCTCAAATACAACATTTAGAAAATACACATAAAGATACACAAATATCCCCCAAATGCCCCTATCCCCCAAAACCCCCCCCTTTAAATGCAGGCATTGTACTTCCCTTTCCAAACTCAAGTCCCACTATATGAAAAAAAACCCGGTTTTCACTGAAAACCCCTTAAATAAATATTACCCTGCTCCCCCCCAACAGATCGTCGGTCCCCCTACCATTCGTTCCATTCACTCCTATCTAAAAACGCTCTGCACGTTTCTGGGAAATCCAACCCTTTCCCACAAAAAACCCCTTGACCCCCCCTCTCCAACCCCCTTTTGAGGACAACCCCCACCCCCCCTTCCCCTTTCCCCATAGATTTATATGCTTTCCATGTCATTCTACTTGATCCTTCTCTCTAATGACCAAACACCTCAAAAACCCCTCTTCTGCCCCCTTTACTAATACTTTTATTAATCCACCTTTTTTCCCAATTTCCACATCCGAATTTTTGTAATATTTAACCAACATTGCCCTTAACCCCTTCAGGGTCCCAAGGGCCCCAAAACTGAAGTGGGGCCCCAGTGTCCCGAATTTCAAAAAAAAAAA